GAAATACGGCACCTTCCCACCCCGCGCCCTGAACGTCAGCTCCGATCTGTCCACAGCTCCGCGCAGCCCCACGAGCCCAGGGAGATGCAATGTGAGGTGCGGCCGAATCCGTCACAGCCTGGGGGGGGACGGGAGCAAAGCCTCCCCCCGAGACGGCGCAGGGAGAGCGCAGCCGGGGCTGACACGCGTGGGGCGCTGATGGGGCTCCGCGCGGTGCGGTGCTGTGCGGTGCTGCGCGGCAGCAGCGCCCTCTGCGGGCAGTGCCCGCTCCCCGCACGGCACAGAGCCCCTAAAGAGGAGGGGGAAAAGGGAGGAGGGGCAGCACCCCCAGCCCTGCCCCCAGGGAGGTGATGGGGCAGAAGGTGTCCACGGTGGAGCGGTGCCCCACAGGGCATCCCTTGAGTCCCCATCCCATCCATCCCATCCCACTGCATCCCATCCCACTGCATCACATTCCATTGCACTGCAACTCATCCCAAACATTGCATCCCATTGCATCACAGCTCATCCCATTGCACCACAGCTCATCCCATTGCATCACAGCTCATCTCATTGCACCACAGCTCATCCCATCCCTTCTGTCCCATCCCACTGCATCCCATTCCATCGCATGGCATCCCATCCTATCCATCCCATTACATCCCATCATCGTGTCTCATCCCATTACATCCCATCATTGTGCCCCCATCTCATCCCATCCCACCCCATCATCCCATCCCATCCCATCCCATCCCATCCCATCCCATCCCATCCCATCCCATCCCAACATCTCATCCCATTATATTCCATCCCATCCCAACATCTCATCCCATTATATTCCATCCCATCCCATTGCATCCCATCCATCCCATCCCATCTCATCCCATCATATTCCATCCCATCCCATTGCATCCCATCCACCCCATCCCATCCCATCATCTCATCCCATTCCATTCCATCCCATCCATCCCACCCCAGCACCCTGCAGACACTTACTGGTCATCGCCCATTTTCTTCACCCAGGCCATGTCCCGCTCTGACTGCTCCTGGAGATGGGATGGAGATGGGATGGGGTGCACCGTGAGCTCCCACTCCCCCCTGACCCTCTGGGGGGCTGCAGCCCATCAGTCCCTACCTGCTGGCGGCTGTCCTGCAGGTGCTTCAGCTCCAGCTGCAGCCGCTCACACTCAGCCTTGAGGTGCTCCTCACGGTGCTGTGCACGCTGGGCATCCTGCCGTGCTGCCTCCAGCTCAGCCTCCAGCCCACGGCTCGGCCACCCCCCGGGGCGCTCCAGCACTGCGGGCACGGAGCATTTCTCAGCCCCAAGGGCACGGAATGATGCTGAAGGAGAGGATGGGGGGGGCAGCTCACCGTGGCTGAGGCCGGGGTTGGGGTGCAGGGAGAGAAAAGGCACCTCCTGGCCAGGCAGTGGACCGACCCCAGGGAAAGGGTTGGTCTCACGCTGCCGCAGCTGCTGCTCCAGGCTCCGGATGCGGCTCAGGTGCGTCTCCACCAGCGCCCGCTGTGAGGGGGGGGGACACAGGGGTGAGCCCCACTGCCCCCTGCTTCATCCTGACCCACATCAGCTGGAGATGGGATGCTGTCCTTAGGGCAGGGCAGCACTGTGGGGTTTGCCCTGCACCAAGCGCAGGGTGCTACAGTGGGGACACGCAGCTGGGAGCACCGCTGGGCACAGCAGGGATAAAAACCCCAACACAGCCCCACAACCACATGGACACCCCAACAGCCCCCAGTCCTGTGTCACTGCAGCCCACCCCAAGCCACAGCAGTGTCACCAATGGCCAACACAGCTCGCTGGGACAGGAATGGATTTGTCCAGCTGGGGAAGGGGACCCTGAAGCCCCACTGTGCCATCCCCACGGTGCCAACCCCAAGGTGCCAACCCCACGGTGCCAACCCCACTGTGCCATCCCCACGGTGCCCACCATCTCGCCCAGCTCTGACTCCAGGTCTGCCTTCTCCACACACAGCTTCTCATAGGCCTGGATCATCTCATCCAGCTGCTCCTCGCGCTCCTTGCTCTTCTCCAGCTGCAGGACAGGGCAGGGGGCTCAACACCCATCCAAGGAACCTCCAAAGCTCCCAGTACCCCCACACACACCCCCTGCACCCACCTCGTGCTGGAACTGGTTGAGCTGCTGCTGCAGCGATGCCTTCTCACTCTTGAGCAGCGACGTCTCCTTGGCCTCATAGATGGAGAAGATGTGCTCCTCACCAAACTCACCGAGCAGCGGGCACTGCACAGAGCATCAGTGGGACCCCAGCCCTGAGACCCCCCTCCCCAGCCCCACCCCGAAGCTCTCACCTTGACCTCATACATCTTCAGGCGCCGTTTGAGCGTGGAGTTCTCCCTCTCCAGCCCACTCAGGCGGTTCTTGATGTCATCGTATGCAGTGATGAGGGCGAAATGGGACGCGGAGCACATCTCCCCCGAGAGGTCGGTGTTGGGGCTGTCCAGCCAGTCTTCATCCGGCCCCAAAGCCTCTGGTGTCAGGATGCTGATGTCGTCCTCGAACATGGAGTCCATGGCACAGTGTGAATTCTGCCTGGGGGAACACGGTGAGATGGGGGTGGGACGCAGCCCCTCGGCACAACCAAAGCCACCAAGCAGCAGGGAGGGGACAGCAGCCTCATGTCACCCCCTAATAAATGGGAACAGAGGGGTCCCAGCAGCCTGCAGAGCACCAGCATCATGGAACTGGGGTGGCAGCGAGCATCCCCAAGGGGGGGGGGGATCGACCGTGGTGACTTTCCCAACGCCCCCCAAGGAGCTGAGTGCCAGAAATAGAGGCCGGTGCCGCCGACTCCCACCCTGCGACGCACGCGAGCTGCTTCCCACCCTCCCACACACACACACACGGAGCAGAGCTGCCCTATATACCAGCACGGGGATGGAGGATGTGTGCCCGCAGCTCGCCCCGTCCCGGCCTCATCCGGGAGCTGCGGCCACACAAATAATTCATGGCAGCAGGCAGGAACGGGAAGCGAGCGCTGCAGGGTGCGGCGGGGACAGCCTGAGGCCAAACCCGGCCACTCAGCCCCTCCCAGAGCTCGGGGGGGGGGAGGGGGGGGGACATGACACTGCTTCACACTGCAGCTCCTGGGGTCGTGGGCTGCCTTGGGGCAGGGGGGACCGTGCAGCTTCTGATGGGATGAGGGGCACGAAATGCAGACAAACCCCCGGCACTGCAGTCCCGCATCACCATCAGGGTTTGAAATCACCCCCCAGTAAGTGATGGAGGGATAGGGCCGCCCCCCCACCCCCCAGCTCAGGCATCATCACTTCCCCGTGGGGAAACTGAGGCATGCACAAAATTCCCTGGGGGCTCCCTCAAAGCCAGACCCCAGGAGGGCTGGATGGCTGCATGCTGGTGCCAAGCTTCCCAATGGGGTGCCGAGCCCCCCTGCCTGGCCCTCCTGTCACTCAGTTTCCCCCAGACCCCCCCAGCAGGACCCCCCCGAACCACTTGCCTTGCAGTGGGCCCCGTGAGCGGGGCGAGGTGATGCAGGCTGGGCAGGGCTGCAGCACAGTGCCAGGGCTCAGGTGAGGGTGGGGGGCAGGGGGGGCTCAGCAAGAGGCAGCACAGCAGGCATTGGGTTGTGGGGACCACAGAGGGAGTTTGTGGGGTTCCACGCTGCTGTTGCTGCCTCCTTATTCCTGGTGGTCAGCCCTTCCTGGAAAGAGATGGAAAATGGGGCTGTGGGGGGGACGGGACAGTGGGGGAACGGGGATGGGGGAATGGCAGAATGGGGATGGAAATGAATGGGGGAATGGGGGTGGGGATGGGAATGAGGGAATAGGGATGGGGATGGGGGAATGGGGATGGGAGTAAGGATGAGGGAATGGGGATGGGAATGGAGATGGGAAGGGGGGAACGGGGAGTGGGGATGAGAACGGGGATGGGACAATGCTGGGCAGTGGGGCCCAGTGCCCATCTCTGCCCATTGCACTGGGGCTGGAGGTTCCACGGCTCCAAGTTAGCACGAAGGGGGGTGTGCAGAAGGGGGTTGTGAACGGACATGCAAATAGGCATGCAAAGCAACGTGCAAATGGGAGTGCACAAAGCGGCATGCAAATGGGCGTGCAAGGCATACAGCAGCGTGCGCCCTGCTCCCGCGGGCGGTGCTCCGAAGGGCCCCGGTGCAGCACGGGGAGCACGGCGGAGCACGAGGCTGCGGGGCACACGTGCGTGCACACGAGGCCGTGGGAGGCCCGGAGACCCCCAGAGCCCCCCGCCTTGATGCTGCCCCGGACCCCCCGCCCCCTCTCCATCCACCGCGGCCTCGGGGAGCGCGCACGGCGCCGGGGCGGGGGGAGCTGGAACGGGGCCCGGGATGGGCCGGGAGCGGCGGGGATGGAGACGGGGACAAAGACGCAGAGGGGCCGGGATGAGCAGCGCCGGGGACAAAGCGGGGCCGGGGGTGGGGAGGCGGGCGAGGATGGCGGCGGGGATGGAAAAGGGGCCGGAACGGGAGGGGGCCGGGCCGGGGGAGGGACGGCAACGGGAACGGCAACGGTAAAGGCAGCGGGAACGGGCCGGAGGAGGCCGGGAGCCGCCGGGCAGAGGGGGGAGCCCGGTTCCCTCCCGCATCGCCCGCCCCCGGCCCAGGGCCCGCACTCACCGGCGCTGCGCGGCGACGCACGGGATGCGCTGCACCGGGATGCGCTGCGCTGCACCGGGATGCGCTGCGCTGCGGCGCCCGCCGGGCTGCGGCTCCTTCCCTTCCTTTCCCTTCCTTTCCCTTCCCCCCGGCCCCGGTGTTCGGTCCCGCCCCGGTCCCCGCCGCCCCCGCCGCAGCCCCGGCCCCGACCGCCGTTTCTTCCGCTCCGGAGACACCGCGAAACCACGTGGGCACCGGGCGGCCGCCAGCGCCCTCCCCCCGGGCCCCGCCGGTACCGCCCCGACCCGTGTCCGTCCGTCCGTCCGTCCGGCTCCCCTCCGGGCCGCCCCCGACGCCGACCCCCAGCGGGGCAGCGCCCCACGCAGTGCGGTGGGAGCGGAACCGGGGCAGCCCCTCGGGGGGCTCCTCTCCATCCCCGTCCGCACGGGGCGGTGGGGCCGAGGGCTGAGCCGAGCCGCAGCCGTGCGCGGTGGGGGCGGGGAGAACATTTTATTCCCTGAATTGTTCTCTCGGAGCCGCTTCCATGACGGAAATACGGATGATTTTTTTGGAGGTGGTGGTTTGTTGGTTGTGGGGTTTTTTTTGTTTTTTTGGGTTTTTTCCCCCCTCCCCACGTTGCTGCTCGTGGTTTATTAACAGATGCTCTGCGTTCGGCTGCGGGGCAATGCCCGGGTGGGGAGTGGGGGGCAACAGCAGCCCGGCGGTCAGAGAGACGGGGAGCAGCTGGAGAGAGACACGGCACTGCACGGACAGCACTGCACAGACAGACAGCACTGCACGGACAGACAGCACTGCATGGACAGAGCGCCGGCACTGCACGGACGGCACTGCACACTGACAGACACACAGCACTGCGTGGACAGAGCTGTGGCACTGCACGGACAGACAGCACTGCACGGACAGAGCCCTGGCACTGCCCCCAAAGACACGTGCATCCCCATCGAGGCTTCATCCCATGACCCCAGGTGGGAGATAGAGCCCAGGAGCTGCATCCCAGCTCATGACTCGGTTGACTTCGCTCCTGTTCAGGTGCTTGCAACGGAGGAAAAGATGGAGATGTCAGCGCAGAGCGATCCCCATCTCCACCATCTGCTGCAGCTCATGCCGGGCTGAGGGAGAGGTGTTGATGCGAGGACAGCGTGGACTTCAGGCTGAGCGTGCAGCTCCGGCCCCACAGGGAGCACCTGGCATTAGGCACTGCTGCAGGTCCGGCCCCACACCCCGATGCAGACCCCCCAGGCTATGTATAGAGCAGCTGCATCATCGCTGGGATGGCGACGTGCCGGGAGCGGCGGTGATTCAGCAGACGTCACTCGGAGTTTGGCTGCCGGCGCAGGAGGGGAGCTGCTGGCACACGGCCGGACCCCCGCCCTGCATCAGAGGGTCTTGGGGGGGGGGGGGTGATAGAGCAGGAGCCTGATGGCTGAAGGCAGATCTGAGCACGGTGCTGGATACTTCAGAGCCAACAACATCGGGTCCGGGAGCTGCTTGGAGGGAGGAGCACGGCCAGGAGAAGAGGGACTGCTAGTGGGCATGGAGCAAAGGGGCAGGGGGGGCACAGGGCTGGGCTGCGCCACAAACAGGGCCTGGAAAAAATCCCAAGCATCAGCTCCGGCTCTGCTCATGCTCAAAGATTGCTGCAAAGTGCTTTGAAGTGCAAATTAAGGTTTTCCATCAGGTTGGAAGTTAATTTTGACGCAAAAGAAAACAGCGCGTCCTCACCCGTGCGTGCAGAGGAGGAGGTGGGGGGATGCAGGGATGCAGCCCAGGACCTCCAACCCCACCTGGGTGCTGGGATGGGGGTTGAGCAGCCACCTCTCCCCTCGCTTTCTGCTCGCTCGCAGCACGCCAGCACAGGAACATGAAACTCAATTTACGCTGTCAGCCACAGCCACGCTGGGAGAAGCGCTATTTTAAGCAGTGAGGTTAGGCCAGTGCAGATGCATCCTCGTGCACAGAACCTAATCGCCCTGCCGCACGGCCGCTGACAGCGGAAAGCCACGGATCGTTTTCCACTTGGTTGATCTGTGCCGGCTGCAGAGCAGCCCTGGCATGGAAGCAGAGCACGGAGCTCTGTCTGCTTTGCTCAGCGCAGCGCTGGGATCGGAGCCTCGCCGGTGGCCCCGTGGAAGTGATGCCCGAGGGTGGCTCAGGAGCTGCACTGCATGGTTCCAAGCTGCCCCTGATCCGTGTGTAAGATGCATCCGTGCATGCAGCAAACCACTGCAGCACTGGGAAAGGCAGCGCTGGGTCTCCATCAGTGCAGCTCTGTAGTGTCCATGCTGCCTCCGATGGGGGCAGGTGAGGGGCAATGCCCTCACAACTTCTTGGGGAGACACCAGAGCCCTCCGTTTCCCTCGCAGATCCGTCCCTGCTCAGCTCCGGGTGCCCACAGCTGTTTCTCCCAGCCTGGCAGAGCACAGCCCAGGTTTTGCAGCACGGCTGCTTCCCATCGCACTCCATGGCAGGAAGCCTCTCCTCAGCAGCTGACGGCAGCACCGTTTCCTCCCTCCATCCCTGACACGAGGAAATTCACCACCGCTACATGCTGGAAAACGAAAAACCATTCAGCCCAGGAACACAGCAGCTTCACAAGGGAGCTGCCAGTCCTGTGCAGCAGCGTGGGGCTGTGGGTCCATCTTTGGGAGCAGAAAACTGAACGCTGCTCTGCTCCCTGCGGGGCCCACGGCTGACCCTGCACCAAGCTGCAGCCCCAGTCCAGGGCCCAAACCAGCCCCAAACCAAGGCTCAGCTCCCTGCCTGACGCCCAACCCTGCTCCCCTGAGGCCTAACCCCAGCTCCAAGGCCCAGCTCCCTTCCCTGAGGCCTAGCCTCACGCTATGGCCCAGGCCCCGTCCCCAAATCCCACACCGAGGCCTGGCCCCAAGGCCCAGTCCCACATGGAAGCCCAGCTCCC